TCTCTCTCTCTCTCTCTCTCTTTGCCCCTAAACTTAAGTTAAAACAACACAATTCTTTCTTGACCACAATTCTTTCCCCTCCTCCCCTTCTCCTCGATGCCTTAATTTTATTCCTCTTTAAGATCTTGATTACCTTCTCACACCGAACTCTACCACGTGATCATCACCACCACCACCACCACCACCATAATCCCCTTTTGAAGAATGGATACTTCGGAAGTTTATTTAACTTTTTAACTATTTAACTATTTTATACTTCTTTTCTCTGATTTTTATTTTTCTTTCTTATCTCTCTCCTCTAAGCCGCCTCTTGTTTGCCTCTTGCTGGGTCTTTTCTTCTTCTTCTTCTCTAAGTCTTATTATTATTTATCTTCTCACTCTCTCTCTCTCCCCTTTCTCTCTTTCTCTTCACTAACCGAAACAATCACTTGTGTACTATTTATTTTTATTGATTACTTATGATTTGTATGAAGCAGCAGCAGTCTCAGTAAAAGACGATACTGGCGCCATACTGTACTTTGGAGTGCTCTGCATGTTCACTTGAATCGAATCTTGTGATGGGATGCTAAAAGAAGGCAGACAAGGGGTGAAATCATAGCATTGCACTGCACTGTGTACAGTGGTAGTGAAAAAAATAGGAGTGCTATCGAGTCTATTGACGGCGATGACGGCGGCAGAGTATTGGCAGTGGGCGCCTGATAAGAAACAGCGATCACCAAAGCAGCAGCAGCAGCAGCAGCAGCAGCTTGTTGCTATTTGCTCAGTTGTACAGTCAACGGCGGAACGGCGACGACCACTGTACGGCGACGACGACAGAGAGCAGAGCGAAGAGTTTGTACAGCGGTGGAAGGACACACACATCATCATCAGGACCAGATCATCAACTTGTCCACTTTTGTTGAGGTTTCATCGTCAACAACTGCACGTCAAATCTTCTTCATCTTCTTCCTCCACTTGGTCCTAGTTCTGGTTCACTGATTTTGTTGTTGTTTCGAAATCCGCCGCCGCCGTCGCAGTTTGGCAGGTGTCAGAATAGCCCCACAACAGCTGCTGCTGCTGCTGCGCTTTGATGCGTGCCGCTACTCTCTGTTGCCTGTCTTCCGAACGAGAGAGAGAAAGAGATGTCAACAAGAAGAAGAAAACAAGATGAAGGTGTAGTGAGAGAAAGAGAGCAATAACACCTCCTGTGGTAACCCAGTTTATTGCCAGTTTTGTTTGATAGCTTACAACTCCTTCACCCACTCACTGTGGCCTATTGTCCCTATTTATCTGTGATCACCTCACCTCCACCACCACCACCACCACCAACATCAACAACAGCACCAGCAACAAACTGTTTTCCATTTCGAAATTCGAATGTACTTCTGATCACCACTTGATTCTTCCACTTCTACTTCTATGAACTGTTTTCGCTCTTACTTTTCTTGTTTTTGTTGTTGATGTTCTTCACTTTCTTCACTTCTCGCTGTTGTCCACTTCAAAATGCTTCGGCTGCTGCTGTTGCTGAATGCTGCTGACCACCACCACCACCACTTACTTCGATGTTCACTTCTTTTGTTGTTCACTGTCATCATCGCTGCTGCTGCTGGCAGTAGAGGATNGAAATGCTTCGGCTGCTGCTGTTGCTGAATGCTGCTGACCACCACCACCACCACCACCACTTACTTCGATGTTCACTTCTTTTGTTGTTCACTGTCATCATCGCTGCTGCTGCTGGCAGTAGAGGATAACACTTCTACCACAACTACGACGACGACCACCACCACTCTTGCGCACATCCATTCACTTATCAATTTTGGTCTCAAGAAAACAGAGGAAAAACGAGCAGGTGCTGCAACGCCCAACAATGTGGGTTAAGCTAGATCAAATTCTCATTCCTAACGCCCTTTGGTAAGTGGTTGGAGAGCAACGAGGCAGGGATGGGTTGTCAGTGAGGATCTGCTACGACAACCACCAGAGAAAACACTGATGTAAACACAGCCAAACACAACACTAATGAACATCTCCTCATTAGGGTCACTGAACGGGCAAACCCGTGCTTCGTTCTCCAGCGACGACTTGGCCATGGCACCCGGGGATTCTCCTCACTGCTCGTCGGCACTCTCGACACTGTCTTTGACAGCAAGGTACTGCTTTTTTCTATCTTTGCTTCTAAAGTGTGTTTGCTTTTCTCCTTCTAAATCTTTCCACTTCTTTCTCTTTGTAGCCACTTCCCTATCGGATACTTCACCAGACGACCGGCACCGAGGCGAGCTACTGTGCGTATACTATACTATAAGTTTACTTAAGTGTTCCTATCTCTCTTTCTCTTCCTTTAATCGTCATCACTGTCTTCTTATCACCCACCAGTGGTCGCCGTCTCGACGAAGTACGAGGACATCCTCAAGGACTGGGAGTGGATCGAGAGCAACCTGATGCCGACGCTGGTCAACTTTGAGAGCGAGGCGGACGTGACCAGCTTCATTCGCTGCAAGATTGAAAGTCTCGTCCAGGTGGTCTCCGACCAGATCACCGAGAATATGAGCTTATCGGGGCGGGCGCAGGAGCTGCTGGACGCCAACTCGACGCCCTCCAAGTTCACCAAGCTCTTCGGCATGCCCGCCGAGGAGAAGCTGGTCAACTGTAGGCTAAAAAACTTAAGGCTTTTTCTTTCCATTTCTAAAACTCATCTTTTTTGGCTTTAGACTACTCCTGCAGCTACCTGAAGGGCAAATTTCCCCGCCAGGGCTGGCTCTACCTGAGCGTCAACCACCTCTGCTTCTACTCCTACCTCTTTGGCAATGAGCTGAAGCTGGTGGTGAAGTGGGTCGACATTAGGGTGAGTGATTTTTGCTTTCAATGGTAAAATCTTGGTTCTAAAACCTCGACCATTTTCCCTCATCACCAGGAAATCGAGCTGGACAATCCGCGCTTCTTCCCCAACAGCATCCACCTGATCACCCGCGCCAAGAAGTACCTCTTCACGATGTTCGTCGGCCTGCGGGTGAGCGAGGTGTACGCGCTGATGGAGCAGCTGGCCAACCTCGCCATGAAGAGCCTCATCAGCGAGGAGCGGACGACGCTGCAGCAGCAGCTCTCCAACACTTCTTCCACTGGTTCAGCCACTGGTGACGGCCTTGATGGCGGAACTGGTGGTACTCGGATCAGGAGCCACAACTACCACCACCACCAACTGTCAGCTGGCACCACCTCAAACTCTGCCTCAAAGGCGCGCACCACCTCCTCGTCGAGCGGCATTTTGAAACGGGACCTAGACGCCCGCGCCATGACCGAGAACTACAAGATCTCCTTTCGCCTGCCGCTGAACGAGCTCCTCGACGGCTCCCTCCCCTGCACCCTCTGGACGCCCTTCAACAAGCAACACGTCTGGGGGAAGATGTACCTCTCCAATAACTACATCTGCTTTGAGAGTCGCGTCCTGGCGCAGATCACCCTCATCATTCCGCTGCGGGATGTGCGCAGTGTGGAGAAGCTCGATGGAGGAGGAGGAGGAGGAGGGGGTGGTGGGGGAGGGAATGCAGGCCATCACTACCACCACCACCACCACCACCACGCCTGGAAGAGCGCCATCGTCTTCACGCTGCCGAAGATGAACATCATCTTTGCGCACATTGAGGATCGGGAGTTCTTTCTGGCGAAGATCGTCAAGATGCTGGCGAGGTTGGAGCACCAGACGAGGTGAGACGGAATTTTTTTAAAACTTTTTAACTAACTAATCTTTTTTCCTACCAGAGAGGGTTTTGACGAGCTGGGCAACTACAACGCCCAGGTGGCGGGCGACCACCCGAGCTGGGCGATCGAGGGTGCCCTCCACGAGCGCTTCAGCGCCTTTGGTGGCGTTGGAAATGCTGAAGGAGGTGCTGAGGGCTCCGCCCAGTCAACCACCACCACCACCGCCGCCGCCACCCTCTCCCCCGAGGTAGCCGCCAAGGAGCGCGTCAAGCTCAATCTGTGGAACCTCCACTTCATCGAGTACGGCCGCGGCATCAGCTGCTACCGAGTGGCGAAGACGCGCGAGCTCATTCTCGCCGGCATTCCCGACGAGCTGCGCGGCGAGCTGTGGATGCTCTACAGCGGCGCAGTCAACGAGCGCGACACCGCCCCGGGCTACTACGAGCGCCTGGTGGAGCAGTCCCGCCTCTCCACCGCCCACTCCGTGGCCACCGATGAGATTGAACGGGACCTGCACCGGTCGCTGCCGGAGCACCCTGCCTTCCAGTCGCCCACCGGCATCAACGCCCTCCGGCGGGTGCTGAACGCCTACGCCCACCGCAACCCCTCCATCGGCTACTGCCAGGCGATGAACATCGTCGCCTCGGTGCTGCTGCTGTACGCCAACGAGGAGGACGCCTTCTGGCTGCTGGTCGCCCTCTGCGAGCGCCTCCTCCCCGACTACTACAACAAGAAGGTGATCGGGGCGCTGGTCGACCAGGGCGTCCTCGAGGAGCTGGTGAAGGAGCAGCTGCCGGAGCTGTACGGCCGCCTCCTGCCGATGGGCATCCTCAGCATGATCAGCCTCAGCTGGTTCCTCACCATCTTCCTCAGCGTGATGCCCTTCGAGTCGGCGATCAACATCGCCGACTACTTCTTCTACGACGGCGCGAAGGTGGTCTTCCAGATTGCCCTGCGCATTCTGAGCGCCAACCAGGAGGCGCTGATGGCGGCGAAGGACGACGGCGAGGCGATGACCATCCTCAGCGGCTACCTGGAGAACATCGTCAACCCCGAGGCGAAGGTCCCCCACATGGTGCACTCCTTCAGCTACGGGTCGGCGAGCAAGCGGGCCGCCGTGCAGACCACCGAGATCAAGGAGCTGATTCAGGAGAGCTACAGCCGCTACTCCTTCATCACCGC